CCAGAGCGAGCACCGGCCGGCGAAGCGCCTGCGCGTGGTGCCTGCGTCGACGGTGGCTGGCGGCGGCGGCGAGGCCCGGGTGCTCAGCGGCATCGACGAAGAGGCGCTGGGCTCGATGGGCATTCGCCGCTGGAACCGACGCGACCCGGCTCTCCGCCGACGCAACACCGAAGAGTACCGTTCGACGACGCACGACGGAGAAGACGTGCGATCGTCGACGGACGGCAACGAGCAGCTTCTCGATCACCTGCAGCAGGAAGTCGCAGGTGAACTCTCATAGTTTTGACTCACGAGTCTCTTCTGCCACTCCATTAACACCCGCACACGACACACACGACACACGACACACGACACACAGAGCTCCGCAATTTGTTGGAGAGAAAGGAGCGAGAGCTGGAGAAGGAGAAGCAGGAGCGACGGGAGCTGCGCAGGGTGGTGAGGAGGCAGGAGGACACCATCGGCGCCCTGCAGCAGCGCCTGCGGTCGGCCGGCCTCGCAAGCGACGACGACGACGATGACGAGGCCCTGGCGCCCACGGTCGATGATGACGTCAACAAGTTTGGCGACAAGCGGCGATCGATGGAGGAAGACGAAAAGCGACGCGACGTGGAGCAGGCGAATGTCGACGAGAAGAAGAAAGAACGAAGAACGAAGGAGAGCGAAGAGGAGACGATGACGCTGTTGCTGGAGGCCATGGATCAGGAGGCGATCCTCCCTGCGGACGGCTACCACGAAGAAGACGGTGCCGACGAACAGCAACTGCCTAAGAGCGAAGCGAAAAAGAACGAAGACGAAGACGAGAACGAAGTGAAGAATGAAAACAAAGAAAAAAACGAAGAGAACGAAGACGAAGAGGCCTTGTTGTGCGACATGTCCCCCACGCTCCGATTCGACGGCGAACACGACGTCGACTACTACGCCGGCGAAGAGGCGCCGAGTGGAATCGTTAGCGACGCCAAGACGCCGGGACCAGACGCGGACCGATCGCTCACGCCACCCGGGGAGCTGGCCCTCGTCGGGAAGCGAAAACGAGTAGACGAAAACACGGCGGCGCCTGCCAAGGTGTCCCTGTCGGCGCTGCTGCGCAAGCACTTGAGCCCGCTGCGCGCATCGCCACACCCACGCACGGCCGACGATCCGACCGACCGGTCGCCCTCCGAGCCGCGGGCGCGACCGCCGCCGCCGCTGGCGCTGGCGCTTGGCAGTGATGTTGGTGACGACGCCGAGAAGCTGCCGCGACCATCACCAGGACGCGTCGAAGTGCCCAGGACGCCGTCGCCGGCGCGAGACGTGGCTGACGGCAATGGCGGCGAGCGGACGCGGCAGGCCGTGTCGCCCATGTTCAAGGCTCTCTTCCTCGCCAAGAAGAAGACGGCTGACTGAATAGTAAAAACGCAGAGAATCACTTCTTCACCCGATACCTGCCGCACCTGCGCACCACCAGGCAGTCGTCTGCCTACCATGTCGGCGGCCTCGCGGATCCAGGAGATGAACACTCAGTTGTGGATGGTGCCCCCTCCCCCCAACATGTCCGGAAACCTCACGCGAAGTTGGGATGTAGTTGGCCGAACAGGTACATTCTGCTTTCAATCTGCATTGTTGTCATACCGCGTGGCATGTTGCGTGTCTCCGGTGGGCTACAAAAGCAACAGAGTTTTTTGGTGTTGTTGACGGCCATGACCAAGCTCTTCTCTTCTCCCGCAGCCATTTTGCTGCTCCTCGCCGCCATCTTCGTCGTTTCCTGCGTTGGTCAGCAGCCTGAAGCTGATGTAGCTGCCACTTCGATCCTGACAGGAGACCAACCTGACAAATCTTCCGGCTCGCCCGTGCTGTTCGACGACAACGACGAAGATGATGATGATGATGACGAAGAGTACCACGACGTCCAGCCCTCTATCGACGATGCAGCGCTTCCCTCCCGCAGGCCGCGGCCCAGCCCGTCGCGCAAACCCATCAGGCCCAGCCCGTCGCACAAACCCATCAGGCCCAGCCCGTCGCGCAAACCCACCAAGCCCAGCCCGTCGCGCAAGCCCCACGCGCCCACGCCCTCGCCCTCGCACACCCCCAGCCCCACCTCCGTCGGTCTCGCCTTCCGGAAGCTAATCTAAAGCTTTCCAGCCTTCGGATAAAAATGGACCAATTGGCGTATTTCTATTACTCTATGCATTTTTATATTTTTTTAATTTATTATATAGTTTGATTTCTTTTCATATTTTTATCGCAGAAAGTTGAGGTAGAGGTTGGAGACGGTGCCGATGAGGCCCATGGAGAGGCCGATGGCGATGAGGAGCGACGAGAGGTAGGTGTGCGGGTCGCGCCAGCTGGCGCCGGACACCTTGAGGTGGGTCAGCGCTGGCACGATGTGGCCGCAGAACATGACGCACGTCCCGCCCAGCAGGCCGAACACGGTGGTGATGTTGGGCACCGCGATCGCCACGAACACCAGCAGGAAGATGATCGCCAGGGTCTCCAGCACATCGCGGAACACGTGCGGGCCTTCGCTCGGCCCGAAGAGCATGTAGTCCACACTGAGCCCAACTGGTCAGTGGACAACGCACACGCACACACGCACACATGCACACAAGCACACAAGCACACACACGCGCACACGCGTGATGTGTTTAGTACCTGGTGCGGCACGGGGTGGTGAAGAAGGGCACGCTGGTGATGAGGGCGATGGTGAAGATGAACGACGCGGCCTGGAGCAGAATGTCGCCCAGCGGGTAGTTGTTCAGCATGTTCTGCTTCGTCGCGTCCAGAAACGACAGATAGCCGCACACGCCTACACACAATGGTCAGCACACGCACGACATGAACGCGCGTGAAATACACGCACACGCACCACCGCACACGCACACGCACACGCACACGCACACGCACGTCATAGCACGCGCACCGAGAGCAGAGTAGAAGAGAAAGAGGATGACGCAGTCGGTGAAGAGGATGCGCTGCATGCGCTTGCCGTCCTGGGGCTGGAGCTCCTGGTAGAGCGGGAAGATGGAGATGTGGGCCGAGTAGACGTAGAACATGATCGGAAGCAGCGGCAGCAGCGCGGGCGAGTCGAAGTGGGCCCACGCCAGCTTGTCGCGCACCACGTCCCACTCCGTCGCCAGCGCGAAGCGCTCGAACGAGCGGAAGAGGATGATGAACAGCAAAAAGAAGATCGAGACGAAGCCCAGCGACGACACGTAGCGCAGCGATGACAGGTTCTTGACCAGCGCCAGCGGCAGGATGACGACGAGGGTGAAGGCCAGTATGAGGAACCACCGCTCGGTGAGAAAGGCGGCGGCCGAGGAGGAAGGAGCGGGCGACCAGGAGTAGGCCAGGTCGCCGAGGTCGACCCCGAGGAAGAGCCGCAGGTAGTTGGGCAGCACGTCGCCCACGATGATCAACTTGCCGATCGCGCTGCCCCACGACACAATGATGATGTTCACATTCACCACCTTTTCCTGTACGTCGTGTGTGTCATTGTGTGTGTGTGTGTGTGTGTGTGTCATTGGTGTGTGCGTGTGTGTGTGTGTGTGTGTCGTATGTTAATAGGAGTTGGGGAAAAGGTGGGAGAGGCGGGTGGTTGGCATGTACCATGCGCTTGCCGAGCACTTTGCCGACGAGCTCTTCGTAGGAGGTGGTGTGGGTGGCTTCGAGGGCGGAGACGAGGAGGTGGTAGGAGTAGAAGGTGAGCGACGCGCCCAGCAGCAGAAACGCCACGCCCGAAGCCAGCCCGAATTGCATGAAGATGAACGGCAGCGTCAACGACGACGACCCTAGTTCAGCAGAACCCAGCCCAGAAGCCATCAGCCCCGGTGCTCCTCACACACATACGACGTGGGAATGGATGAAGGCGAATGCCGCAGTACCAATCGTAGAGGTGAGCATCTGGAAGGTTGACGCCACCACGCCGCCCTTGGGCAGCAAGTACCATGGCTACACGCACACGCACACGCACACGCACACACGCACACACGAACTATTATGAACTGCAATTATGAGGAATTCCACATTTCCCCATTTACTGGGAAAGGAGTAGGGCCTCGTGGACGAGAGAAAAGATGGAGAAGTGGAAGTACCTGTGTGGTAGCGATGGTGGTGGTTTGTGGGGTGGAGGCGAAGGCTGTCTCTTCGTCACCGGCTACGCAAATCTCTTTGGAGCCCAGTAGGGAAGATGGTGGCGGGGTGTAGAAGGAGGCGTTGCTGTGCTTCTTGTTGACGTTGATGTTGCTGCTGTTGTGGAGGTTTTGAAGGAGCGGCAGCTTCTCGCCCGCGAGTAGCGAGTCGACGTCGGCGCAGCTGCTCCTGCCTCTGCCGCACACCTGGCCGCCTTCCTGCATGGCGACCCACGGGTTGCCCTGCAGCTCCAGCACCCGGTCGTGGCTCTGGGACATCAACATGGTCGTTCCTCGCCTCTCTTCTTCCACTTCGTCTTCCTTGATCCCTTTCTTCAGGCGAATGAAGGGATGCCAAACGAGAACGAAGAAGCAACAAGATGCAAAGAGTGGTTGGTTCTTGTTGAGTTCGTGGTTGAACCGAAGCTCCCCACACCGCCGGAGAGAGCAGCGGGGGTGCACAAGACTCCACTTCCTCTTTCTTGCTCAACTGCCATTGGTCGCGAAATCCACCGGAGCGCTGGATGACTCCAGCCTGAATCGCGCCACGCGATTGGGCGAAAAATTAAACTAAATGCAAGTCCACGAAGTGTGGAACGTCGGCCCATGGCGAACACACACTTGGTCATCTACCCATCAATCAACCCCGTCACCTTTTCGTGTTCACTCTTTGTCGTCATAGTTGCGCCACGGGGTTGTGCAATTAAATTGAAAGACTTCTTTGGCTCTGCTGAGGCTTCTTCAAAGAGAGAGAGAAGATGTATGAAGTGCTGATCAGTGGGGAATCTGGGCGAGGAGGGCGACGGGGTCGGTGATGTCGTAGATGTCGACGTCCTCGAGCTTCTCGGTGCACTGTTCCATGACGAGCTTGGGGATCTTGAACAGCGAGTCGGCCTGCGGCCCGTAGTTCACCTCGTGGAACAGCCTGGCGTACGATGCGTGAGTGGTGGCGTGAGTGGTGGCGTGAGTGTCGGCGTATGAATGAAGAGCAGCGAGAAGGAGAGAGAGAGAGAGAGGGAGAGCGTACATGCTGCCGATCTTGTTTTCGTCGTGCATGCTGTAGTCCAGCTTCTTGATCTCACGGTCCTCCTGGGTGTCAAAGACCCTGATGTGGGCCTTCTTCTTGTCGTCCCCCTTGGTCTCTATGTCCTTCTCCCAGTGGTACACCGGGTGGTACTCCACCAGAGCCATCCCTGCGATCGCGTGACGTTAGTGTGTGTCGTGTTGTGGCACGTGTGTCGTGCGTCGTGTGCTACATATGTGGTGTGTGTGTGGTAAGCGAACCCTTGTAGTCGGCATCGGAGAGGTCCAAGCCTTTGATGGTCTTGTTCTTGAGGTCCATCGTGAAACACTTGACCTGGTCGCGCTCGTAGAAGATGTAGTATGCCGCGTTCTTCTTGCCATAGTAAAGGGCCTCCATCTTGTAGTGCTTGCCCTTCCACTTCACCATGCCGCCTACGCGTGCCCTGTTGTCGTGTGTGTGTGTGTGTGTGTGTGTGTGTGTGTCGTGTTGCACACACCCATGGCGTAAGATGCGACCACAGGTGATGGAGCGATCAAGCGGAAGCAGACCTGCAGTTCTTCTCGTCCCAGAACATGCGGAAGAACTTGTGGTGGGGGTGGTGGTTGGACCGCCACTCCACAGTGGCCGAATAGGTCGACGGCCACTGGAACGCACACGACGAAGTTGCAATGTTAGATCAATCGAGCTCTACCACCCGGCGGGGTCTCGACAGAGGATTACCTGGGGCTTATCGGGGTCGGAGTCCAAGGGGTAGTAGACCTGGCACGTCGCGATGGCGAACAGTGCCGCAAAGACGGCCAAGGCGAGGAGCTTCATGTCGTAGAGTGAGCTGTGATGTGTTAGCTGTGAGCTGGGGTGTGAGTGAACTGGAGAGATGATGATGTTGTGAACGCGTCCTATGAGGCGGTTTTATAGCGGGAGGCGAGGGACTTGGCCCAGAGGCCGGCGTCGAACCTCCCGCATTTCTCGTGCTCCTCGCGGACGCGCCCACAAGACCGCCCGCACGTCGGTCGGCTTCGTCTCGGGCTATTACGGCCCCAACTAGTGCCCTCCCCCCCCTCGTGGCTCTGCGCGTGTGAAAGGCGGGCATCTAGCACAGGCGAGCAGAGTACCCATAATGGCCGACATTGTGGCCAATCGCTGGGCAGTTCTGTAGTCGCTGCTTCCCGCAGCCAATCAGTGGTCCCT